AAATATTTGTAAGAAACAATTTAATATTTATTCATTTTACTAAACATTTTTAGAAATGTTGGACAAAAACCGTAAATAAAAAAATAATTTTTGGCATTACAAATTATACAGACTTTTGGTGAAGTTTTTTTTTTTTAAACTTGTTATATAATATTTACTTAAATATCAACATTGTTTTATCAATCGAGTTTTTTTGACAAAATTCTTTGTTCATGCAACACAAAAACATTAGGTAGGATTAAAAAATTTATTTCCATCAAATCTTTAAAAAAATTTTTAATGATCATTTGCGGTTATTAGAAAAATACTTACCTATATTATCTTTTAGTTGTTACAATTTATTAAAATTATTTTACAATAAAAAATAATTTTTACTATTTTTTATACAATTAAAATATTCCTTCTGTTGAATATACTTTTCATTAACCTAGTAAATGGTATGCTTAGTACAAAATTAACAGGTACGTGATTAGCATATTTCAAACTTTCACACTGTAAAACATCTTATTTACATTATTTGTGCATTAAAAAACAATTATTTGAGAAACTGTTAAAAAACATTCTGATATGCTTTAAATTTACGAATAAAAAACAGATCGCTTAAGTGAATGAAATCGCAAGACCGAAAGTAAACCAATACGTATCCCCATGTCAGCCATGATGGACTACCAGGGCAACGGGAAACTATCTGTCAAGTAGAATATCGACCTTTGCCCCTCGTCTACACGTCCGCTGCCATTCCCTCTTTTGAAATTTTAATGGGGCTTAATTTATTTTAAATTTTTGTGAATTTTAAATCCAAAGTATTCAAGAAAAATTATTTTTTCTAAACTAAGCCAAACCTGTTATTTATTTACATGTCACTATTTAATTTTTAATATTTTTTACTATTTGAAGAAAATGTGTATATACTATTAATTAACAATTCCCTCAGTATTTATCAGAACTTTTAAATATTATTTATGTAATCATTTTTTTTTTTGACGCAATAAACGAATATGTAACATAAGTGGTTGCAAAAGAATTTATTTTTTTTTATAAAGTATGCTTTATCATTACAATTAAAAACTAATAGACTAGCGAGGTCAATGGAAGGATTTAATTACATCTATAGTGAAATCAATCATCTTACGTGTATTCCAAAAATCATTATTCTAAAATAGATCTAGTGTAAAATATAACAAATTTTCCAAATGTCTAAATACTATGTACAAATTATGATACTATAATTGTCATTAGAATGACATACATAATAAAATATAACTTTATTAATTATATTTACAGTATTGCTGTTTCTTCAAGAAAATCACTGTTTTGTACTGCTATGAACAAATCTCTGGTTAAAATTAAATAAAAGTTAGGTCTCGGAATAATATAAAACATTAAAAGTTATAAATATTATGTATGAAGGTGCTCACGTTTAAATTACAACATTACGATCTTATTTATTTACAATAACAAATTCGCTTGGGCAACAACGCACCGCTTAAATTAAAATTCAACATCACTTTTTGTCTTGAGGGGAAAAAAAAGAAAAAGAAAAAAAAAATTATTCTCGCTCATAGAAATCTAATATTTTTGCGCAACTGCATAAGCACACTATTCAATAGCCTCTTTCGGCGAGCATCAAAAGCGACCTCTCGAGTACCTATACCTACATTACACGTGTACCTGTTGGAGCTGCAGTTCACACAAGCTCGAACGTATACTTTCACTTCCTTACCCTTTCCCGGCAACGCGTCGCGCCTTAAATCATCCGACAAATAATTTCCCGAAGACTCCAGCGTAGCCGCGCACGCTGACATTAATATAATTCACGCAGAGGCGAAAATCACGGGGAAAGGAAAGCTCGCCGTAAACGTTTTTCAATCGGCGCTTTGTTGAAGTGTAGATTTTTTTTTTTTTTTTTTCGAGCAGGCCCGTAATTGCGCTATTACTTACGTTTGCTTTCCCATTTATTTTCACATCCGTCTCTGCAGTGCCCGCCTCGGTCGTACGGTAATAAGAGCCTTGAAGCCACACACGCATTCACGTGCGGTTAGTCGCCGCGTTATTTAACCACCAAGAACATAACGGTCACGTATGCGTCGCAACCCGATCATTGGCAAATTATCGGGGAAAATATATTCGAAAAACGAGGCACGTCGAGGTGCGCGTGCCCGATGCTCGCGGCCATCTTCTTTCCCAACGTTTTCGAGTACAGCTGCGCGCCAACTATAGTATAGTCCCAACTCGCCCCCTCCCCACTGCGCTCGCCTCTTCTATAGCCACCCCTCGCGCACAGGACTACTTCCAATCGCCCCATACGGTGTATGTGTACCGATTGTGTTGTGCACCGCATACAATGAGAGCCGGTTGCGACAAAGTACACAACAGGGCCTTTTTCGATAAATATTTATCGAGCCTTGACTCTTCCTTATGGCGTGAATTTAGAAATTGGAGGTCGACGCTTCGATCTCGATTCAGAGCCCTGGCGATTTTCCTTCGATTATTTTGGTAATAATCATTCGATTTTCATTTATTTTACTAAAAACTTTTAGAAATGTTACGGACAAAAACCGTAAATAATTTCTTAGCGTTACAAATAATACAGACTATCGGGGAAGTTTCAATATTAACGTGATCATTGATATTAATTAATATTGCAATAAAAAAAAAAATCACTCATGGAAAGTCCTTCCATTGGTTTTTGATTGGTCTTTGTGATTATTAAAATGTTTTTTTTTTTGGGAAGCTCAAAACCCAGAGTCAATTCACCGTGCGAAATCCAAAAGGCTCACAACTTCCGCGATCGACGACCCTCGCTCCTTCGGAAACCATTAGTCGCGCCTCTATATAGATACACACGTACATTGGGATCGGTAACTTTTTCGCACGGAGGAAAGGCAAGCATCACCGGTTTGACCGCCACCTGCACCCTTGCACGCGATTATTAATTACAATGCGTGTGCGCGTGTTTGGCCGCGTCAAAATATTTTCGGGATGACGCATGAAAAACGCAAGGAGGCAAAAGTAAGTATGGGATTGCTGTTGAGATGCTGCCCACACTTCATTGGAATGCAGCGCGAGCCCGAAAGGACCGTGAATTTTCACGAGAACCGAGCGAGAAGATACGGAGGGAGCAGAAGAGAAAAAGGGAGACGTCCTACGGGCCGGCGAGACGCCTCGACCGAGCGGGGAGCCGGCATATACTGCCTTTACCTGGCGTGGACCGCCGACCATAAATAACCAATGGCGGCGCCGGACACACGCGCTACCCAGTATCTATACAATATAGGCTCAGCTGCGCTTATATACGAAGCTCCCCCGTCTTCACGACGAGTCCGCAAGGCCCACGAGTTTGCTCGTGTGCTGCATGTACCCCGATGCCCGATGATAGTCCCCCGCGTTCGGATAGCCTTGCTGGTGCTGCAGGCTCGGGTGCTGCTGAGGGTGGTGCTGCATGTAGTTCATGTAGGCAGCGGCGTGCATATGTTGCTGCTGTTGTTGCTGCTGTAGATGGCAGCTCTGTTGGTCCACCATGCCAGGGGCCATCTGGTGCGGTTGTTGTTGGTGGGTCATGGGTGGGCGCTGGTTGGTCTGGAGCATCATGGTCGTGCTCTTGATCATGAGGGTCGTCTCGAGACTCGGTGGCTGGTGGGCCATGTCGATCGGTAGGTCCTCGAGCTCGTTCGCGTGCGGATGATCCGATGACAAGTTGTGATCCGGTTTTATATCCTTTTTGGCCTTCATCCGCCGATTCTGGAACCATATTTTGATCTGGCGCTCGGACAGGTTGAGCGTGTGGGCGATCTCGATGCGTCGCTTGCGGGTGAGGTAGCGGTGGAAGTGGAATTCCTTTTCCAGCTCGAGGGTCTGGTAGCGCGTGTACGTCTGACGTGTGCGCTTTTGTCCCGAGTTGTTGACGTCTGCCGTACCTGAGAACAGAGACGGGAAGCTTGCTGATTTATTGGCGCCCTTCTTTGAACCCTGACGCAGGTACATGAGCCCTCGTTTCGAGATATCCCGAATTTGTAAGGCTCGCCATAAATAGCGCTGTTCTTCCCACTGCTGAGGATCCCCGCTTACACGCGAAGCATGGACATTTTTTTTTTTTTCTTTTTTCACGTGAATTTCCCTGCAGATCACGGACATCGAACGGGATAAAAGTTCAAGGAGGGTGCAACTTATTCGGCTAATCCCTAGGCGTGAGTACACTCTAAAGACCTTTAGCTGGATGTTGAGGCGTGGAATAAGGTAGTTCTAAGTGCACCACCTCAACACCGATTATGCTGTCAGTGCAAATCTTTGCAAGAAAATTTAATAGCTATCGGACAGCTTAGCCTCCTAAAGTTCAACATCCGCGCTACTTCGTCTTACTGTGTACACTATGCGGATACGTATTCGTATGAGTAAGGATCCACCGATAGAAGGGGTTGTGGTTACGTCACTGACAAAACACCTCTCAAACTCTATTCCATACCCACACGTCCGCGTAGTGTACACGCATTAAGGGATGTTCTGGGAAAGTTGCACTTATTACTATACTTTTATCCCAGTCCAAGTCTACGATCAAGACAACATTTACCCATACGTAGGTACATATCAAATGTAGGGATTAGTTTAAGGAAAATTTCATGCTCCACGTGGGGATCCACAAGGATTCATCAGATGGGCCTTTTTACGAGTACCTATACCTATATGTATATCCTCACACGTGGATGCAGCATATAGACAAATACAATGAACCACGCGTTAGATTCTCATTGTCAACAAAGTTCTACAATGTTTTTCACACGTTTGATTAAAATTTATTGTTAACTGTGGACTTTAAAATTAAATTTTCATCAATTGAAAGAATGTTCGATTGGCACACGGTTTAGCGATGAAAAAAAAAAAAAAAAAAAAAAAAAAAAAAAAAAAAAAAAAAAAAAGTAGATTACTTACCGCTGCCAGCGCCACCGCAGCCCGACTTCATCCACGGAAAGTCAACGTGGTTATGACTCTGATCCTCCTTGGGCTCGACACCCTCATACAGGCAGCTCTTGACATTGCCATTGTCAACGTGGCCACCGTACCCAGCAGCAACGTCCTCGTACCTCGCTACGGCGTTGGCCAGATGCGTCGCCGGGATCTTCGAGTAGCCGGGCACGTTGTGCGACTGCGCCGCTGCGTAGCCCGGGTAACTCTGCTCGTAATTCAAACCGGCTCTCATGACGGGAGCCTTGCGGGGCACGGGATCGTCGTGGGTGCCACTGCTGCCGCTGCCCAGGGGCGAGCTCCTGTCCGGGGAGGCCGAGGACGCGTAAGCCGGGGACAGGCACTGGGCGTAGGGCGACACCTGGGGCTGGACCGCGGGCTCGGGTATCGCGGCCGACTGGCTCGGCTGGACGTAGCTCGTGTAACTCTCGGTAACCGCCTCCTTGCCGTGCCTGAGCAACGTCTCGAGGATCGTCTGTGGCTCCTGTTTGATCTGCATGCACGGGAAACTCGGGCTGCTCGACTGCTGCGGGAAGCCAGCCTGGTGGGACTGCTGCATCATCTGGGCCTGCTGGAGGTGGGAGTAAGGGTGCTGGTAGTAGCCTGGACTCTGGTGGTGGTGGTGGCTCATCGGCATCATCGAACTCTGGTAAGGCCAGCTGCCGGTCTCACCGGTGCTCGCGTAGTACGTCGAACTAGCCATTGCTCCAAGCACACCCTTATATACCCGCACTGTACAGGCACAAAAAAGCCGATGATAACACAACTTCCGTTGACACACTTTTTTGTTTGTTTTTTATTTCGCTGTTTCACTCGGGATGGTCCAAGTCACATCGCGCACTCGGAGACGACTGAAACGTGTGCTTGAGATAGACTGGAAACAGGGGGGTAGAAGAAGAAAAAAAAAAAAAAAAAGACCGAAGCTAAGAGCGTTGACGGGTCTATTTGGACGGCGTGTTGGCCAGGTTGGACGTCGACTCGATTCTGGCCCGAGTGGCCGGGGCTCGAACGCAAAAGGCCAGCAGAGTCGCGCTTTGGAGTGCAATGGAGGCAACAGCAGCGGCCGAACAATGAGCCGAAATGATTTGTGTCCCCGTGACGACGTGTCCCGAGCCCCTGGGTCCGAGAGAGAGAGAGACGGAGCAGCGAGGGGTTTGCGCGTGCCAATGGGTCCCCGAAAAACTTTCACCGAGTTTATTGCACCAGCGTAGTAGGCGGCTAGAACAGACGGAGCTAGGCCAAGGGGGGGATGGGGGGAGACGCGTCTGGCTGCAGCAAGGGAGCTTATACGGTCGAGCCCTGCGCGTGTAGGCCATAGGTGCCCTACAGTGGTGCTGGTCGTTGTTGTTGTTGTTGTTGTTGATGTCAGTGTTCTCCATCTCGCTTTAAAAGTGCCTCCCGCCAGCTCATGCGCGTATCCTTCTCTTTTTATTTTTTCATTCCGTAAGTGTATATAAGGTATACCTACATGCATCGGCGTATACGCGTGTATACCTACCCCTGCAGGAGCAATGACATAAGGGACGTACGGGGCTGGTATACATATATATGTATAGAAGGTGCCTTCTCTCTTTCTCCCCGCTTGTATCAGCTGTCGAGCTGATGCCGATCGTCGCCACCCCCGACCCAACAGGCGGCATACATACATGTTGGAGAGCACATGCACGCACCCCTCCCACTATTAACGCTATTGACACAGAGAGCCCATATTGAATTCACGCTTGGCACGCGCGCGACCCGCTCCCTTGGACCCGCGCCATCGAGATATGCTGGATGGATGTAGAGTTTACACAATGGGTGGACGAACGGGGGTCAGACCATGTGTTCACGATACTACCCGCTGTAGCGTCAGTGGCCAGATTTCGTTTGCACGCGTGGGGGGTCGGGGCGCTTTGCATGAACCGGGACGCCTACCGTAGTCAGGGAGGTAGGGCTGTTTTTTTTTTTTTTTTTTTTTTTGCTTTTTGCAACCACATGATGCTCTTGTTAACACTCGTACTTTTTTTTGCAACTTGCGATTTGGGATCGGTAGCTCGTGTAGGGAGGGATGTAGCAGTAAATCGCGAGTCGGATATGATTAGCTCTATGAGGCTGCTGATGGGTAATTGGTGCTGGCAATTTATGATAGCGATTGAACGTCTGAGATTTTACTATCTAGCAAGTACGAACGTTTGAGTAACTTAGTTAAAAGTTTGAGAAATTTTTTTAAATCATCGAAGATTCGAGTAATTTTGTTACCTCTTTATATTTAAAATCATATAATGGATCATTCGATAGCTTCTTAATAACTGATACTTGGTAGAGCTTTTATCTGACGTATAGGAGGTTGTAAACTTAACTCTTGGTAATTTTTTTTTTTCCTAATTTTATTTTATACATATTTAATTTGATGTTTTTTTGTATACATGCATAGCGGAACAAAGTAAACCGAAAAATTAATTTCCAACAATCTGGAGCATAAATAATATTGTCACGGTAAGATAAAAAATTTGCCGATCTCATTATTTACATTAGGTGCGAAGACATGATTTGTATATCGACGAGCCATCGTGGAATAATTTACCCCTAAACGAGGTCAACTGCACCTCCATTAAACTCCTCACCTTGGCGCAGCCACCTCTCTCCCGCAATAAAAATCCATCACCCATATAATTTGGACGCATCCACCCTTAAATAGATATAAGTCACGTTGAGTGTTGGGGTTTTAAATCCCTTACTCTTGTACAAACCAACTAACTGTATATAAGAAAAGAGGTGCCATCCTGAAAGTATATAATTTATATAGAGCAGAAAAGTAGTGCAACTCAATTAGCAGAACAATGGCAATAAATAAAACGCGGTGGCAGCGCCCTGGCTCATCAGCGCAAACGTTTATCCGCTAAATACCATATAACCCAAAACGATTACCAAGCCACCGTTGAAATGAAGTCGCAGGACCACTGTATATGCTGTATAAGCAATAAATACATACAATGGGTATAACGTACGTATGCCAAGCCGCCACGCTTGTTCCCATACGTATACACACATGTATAATAATATCATAGTGCAACACAATCCTAATGCAGAGCTACTCCGCCCTGCGCCATCAGAGAGCTACACACCCTTCGTCTGCCCCCCTCCCCTCTTCTTCTCTCCTCGCCCGCCCCGAGCACACGAGTTACCGCTGCTTTTATCATCGCTTTTATTATTAATTATATCGAGACGACTTCCCTGGCCGCGTTTTTTCCTTTTTTTCTCTACTTCTCGTTCTCCGCTGGTACAATGTGCATGCGGCCACCGTGTGTATACATGCGTGTGCCCCACAGTGGCAGCAGCTCATCGAACAAACGAAGAGGAGGACGTGGACATCGATGAGCGGCTATCAATCAACATTTTTTTTTTTGCCTCCGTGTTCGCCGCTTGGTTATTTACACGCGCTATCCGCAAAACGATAGATGAATCGACAATGGTTTTACTTTTTTTTTTTTTTTTTTTTTTCAGGTGAGTGAAATTTATTTTTAATTTTAACAATTTTTACAGATCAATCTTGCTTGTGCTACGTAACATTCGGAGGAGATTTTTGTTATTTCGAGTTGATTGCGGTTTTAGACCATAAAAAGTTATCATGAGAAGAAATGAAGTTAATGAACCTTTTCGATACAATTATTAATTTATTTCGTATATGCAAGAACATAATATTTTATCCACTTCAATGAGTTAGTATGATACTCTTCGTAATGTCTAGTGGTGTGGTTCAGTTGGCATGGTTAGATAGTCCGTGCCACAGTAAGGCAGGGTTCTAACGATGGTATTTTCCATATTGCAAATGACCTTACGATTTGTGTAATGATGTAAAATATATTCCAGTACAACGAAATAGATTGAAGGTCATCGGCATAGTAGGTTGTGACATAGATAAGTTTTTTTTCCTATTTATTTGACATTTTTTATTTCATTCCAACTTGGATGAGAATAAAACAACTAATACGATTACACTTCTACAACATTTTTCTTCAGAGTCCGTGGTCCCTTTCCCTCCCCAG